ATATTGTTATAATAATATAACAATATATCTAGGAGTCCCTGGATGATGAAAACGTTGAAGCTCTCAACTGCTAGCCACAGAGTTTGTGGTTCTTTGAAAGAAAGACCTGGTAATATGCTCCTGAAAGCCATGAAACAGAATTGACTCAACGGAAACCGGTTTGGTTTTCTGGTTGACAGTCATTGTCGTAGTAGTTACTATTTTCCAATTATTATTTAATAGTAACAACAACCATTCATTATTACTATTCATTGTTATTATTACTATATGAGGTCTACAACTTCTTCTTTCTAAAACAGGCAGAGGATTCCCTCTGCATCAGCAATGCAATGAGGGGTGTCAGAACAAGTCAGTGGTACTGAAGAGCTCCTAGGGGAGATGTTCAAAAGTCTAGAGTACATGGGAAAGGAAAGCCTGGGGGTCCAGAGGCCCCAGAAGGTGAGCCCTAAGCCAAGAGGTAGAGCACTGGAAAGTTTCCACTGCAAGAGCAGACCTGTGTGCCCCACCTTCATGTACTGTAGCATCCTCTCTGCAGCTGTGAGGCGCGCCTCTGTCTCTGAACCAAGCCGGGCACAGGACTGGTAGTTGGATGCCATCTGGAATCAAGGAAAAACATCAGGTGGTGGAAAGACACTGAGAATGTCAGGACTCCAATGATCCTGAAAGAAAATTACCTTCTCCCATTTCTCAAACCAAAACCACATTCTTGAGGAGAATGGACAAGAGAGAACTGTGAGCCCTTTCTATCCACACCTGAGTTTAGCTGAAACTGTAGTGAGAAATTCTGGGCAAGGATTCCACTGGCCTAGGTCCACACCAAGTGCTCACCCTTGCTTGTTTTCCACTCTCTTCTTTTCAAAGTTCTGGAAGGCTTGGGGAGGATAACAACACAGGGTGTGTGTGTGTGTGTGTGTGTGTGTGTGTGTGTGTGTGTGATAGAGAGGAAAAATTTTGGATGGGGGAGAGAAAGACAAAAAGATTGAGGACTGAGAACAGGTCTCTCTCTAGATATGAAATCATAGAGAGTTTACTCAAACTCTAGAAGCCTCAGTTTCCTAATCTGTAAAATAGGAATAATAACAATTGCCAACATTTTGTTGTTAAATGCTGCTGAGCTTCTTCCAACTCACAATCCATAGCTGACCCTCTGGTGGGTGTTCAAAGGCAGTTAATCACAATGGGAGGAGACTGCCCACCATTCTCTCCTGTGGAACAACTAGTGGATTGGAACCATGTGTCTTTGAGACTGCAGCACAGCTTCTTACCACTAAGCCACTTCCATTGGTAGATCCAAATCAATTAAATCCTTTGCAATTTCAGTCTTCTCTTTATTTATATTGGTCCAGTTGCAAGATCACTTTTTTTTAAAGAATTTGTTTTTTTCTGTGAAGGAAGATATTAATGTTTTCTCTGAGATGATGTTTAATCTACAGATTGCTTTGAGTTTCATTGACATCTTAGTTATCTTAAGTCTTCCAATTCATAAACATGGGCCACTAGGGAAGACAAGGCAAAATATTACAATGAAATGTGCAAGAGACTGGAATTGGACAATCAAAAAGGCCGAACTCGCTCAGCATTTCTTAAGCTGAAAGAACTAAAGAATAAATTAAAGCCATGAGTTGCAATGCCTAAAGATGCTGTGGACAGAATATTGAATGATTCAGGAAGCATTAGAAGAAGATGGGAGGAGTATACAGAGTCATTGTACCAAAAAGAATTGGCTGACGCAGAAGAATGTCAAGAAACAACATATGAAAGGAGGAAGTGCATGATGCTCTGAAGGACTTGGGGGGGGAAGCCCCAGGAATTGATGGAGTACCAATTGACGTATTTCAGCAAAAGATGCTGCTCTGCATATGCTCACCAAGTTGTGCCAAGAAATCTGAAGGACAACTACTTGGCCAACTGACTGGAAGAGATCGATATTTATTCCCATTCCAAAAAAAAAGATGTGGAAATTAATGAACAATATCACTAATATCACACACTAGCAAAATCCTGCTGAAGATTATCCAGGAAAAACTTGAACAGTACATTGACAGAGTACTACCAGAAATATAAGCTGGGGTTAGAAATGGTTGTGATTCTAGGGACATTATTGCCAATGTCAGATGGATCTTGGCAGAGAGCAGAGAGTACCAGAAGAATGTCTATCTGTGTTTCATTGACTATGCAAAGGCATTTGACTGTGAGGATCACAACAAATTGTGACTAACCTTGAGGAAAATGGGAATCTCAGAACAGTTGATCGTGCTTATATGAAACCTATACATGGACCTCTCCAGAGTGCTGTAGAGCAACGATGTCAGTCTAGACACAAGGTGTGCCTAATCCAGGCCATGGTCTTCTCAATTACTTGTTATGCTTCCGAGAGCTGGACAATGACTAAGAATAACAGAAAGAGGATAGAATGTCTTTGAGTTGTGGTGCTGGAGAAGAGTCTTAAACATACCATGGACTGCCAAGAAAACAAATAGGTCTGTCTTGGAGATAATGAAACCAAGTCTTTCTTTGGAGGCTAGGGTTATGAAGCTCTGCCTTATGTAATTTGGGCATGTGGCCAGAAGAGATTGGTCCTTGAAGAGAGACATGTTCAGCATTGTGAATGGACAGCACAGGAGAGGAAGACCCTAGATGAGATGGATTGATACAGTATCTGGGGCAATAGGAGTTGGAGTGTCGAAGTTAGTGAGACTGGCTCAGGACAGGGAAAGGTTCAGAGCTGCTGTACATAGGGTCTTTATACATCACAGGCGACTCAATGGCACGTAACAACAATAACATACTATGACAAGTTTGGAAGCAGGAGTGGAATCCACTTCTTAAATAACATGCTTCTGGAAACTCTATGAACTTTGGTAAATCTTGATTGTTGTATAGAGGCTATAGGACTTTTTTTCATGGGGTTGCTGTGAGTCATGCTCAACTCAAAGGCAATCAACAACAACGTCTTCTTTTGATGCTTTCTGTATTATTCAATTTTTTGACCATAGAATCTTTCTTAACTGTAACTCACAGCTTTCCTTTTTTGCTCAATTCTTCAAAAGCTTGAGAAATGCCAAAAATGTTCTTCCTTCTTGGTTTTCTAACTCCAAGTCTACATATTGCATTAAACACCTACTCTCCACTTATTGACTCGGTTAGGGTTCCCAATTCCAAACCATAATGCAAAAATCAAAATGGAAGAAAACCACATCAGATCACAAAATGGAGGTTTACTACGTCATTACATAACTGCCAAATCTTCTCTTCAATACTTAATTTTGTTTTCGGGGGCTACCTTTTGAAATCTTCTGTTTATCTCTTTTACTTCACCCTTTCTCCCATTTGCTTTAGTTGTGCTGCATCTAAAACCAATTTCCATGATCTCTTCTGATACCCATTTCAGTCTTTTCTTTGTTACCTCTTTAATGATCACTTGCTTTCTTCATGTAGGCTGTCCTTCATGTCATGCCTCCAACTCCTCTGGTCTTCAATCACTAGTATGCCAAGAACCCAATCTATTCTTTAAATAATCTCCAGATTCAAGTGGATTACTTTTAAGGTCCTATTTGGAGTGTGGTGAGAGTTAAAAGAAAGACATATTACCAGCTCAGCACATGTGCTCCCTACATCCAATTGGTATTAAACTTGGTAGGTGTCTGTGACTAAGCATTGCACAAACGCCTGTCTGATAGAGATCCTGTGCATACTGGGTCATGTATAGCACAGCTTACATATGGAAATAATGTGTTGGCAATGGGAACTAATAGAAACTTCAGTAAGCCATATATAGGATCTCAGGCTAATTAGAAAGCATCACACAACCCACAGAGAAGACAGATAATGTGTAACCTCTAAGAGGACACTTAATATGAAACTTCAGGTTTCCCTGAGGCAGCCTATGATGGACAGTCCTTCCATGTATTTCTGTGGGTGATGAACCTTGAAAAGTCACTTCTTCTCCATTCCCCCAACGCCCAGAGCAGACTGGTCTGGAGAAATTTAGGTCACTTCTCTCCAGTGAAGATACAGGGCACACGGGAGAGGCTAGATAGCATTAGGCTGAATGAACTAACTCAGTCTGATAAGGGCAAATATGGTAAAGACCATTATTGTAAAAAAATAGGTGGATAACTAGTAAGGTGTGTATAAATGTCTAAAGGGGAAGGGGAGGGTTTAGAGGGGCTTTAGGTGGGAAATTTATAGGGGAGGTGGAAAATCACAGGGTCACAGAGTTTGGTGGGTGGAGGGAGGGGATGAAGGAGTTAGAAAAGATCCAGTGGCGATCTACAAAGATGGAGTAATAGTGGGCATAGATCAATGGTGATTATTTTATAAGAAACAATGTATGGGAATGATTATATGCAACACAATGTGAATGAAGAAATGTGTGAAATACAATGTATATGTGCAGGGGGGAAACATATTGGGGAAAAAACATTTAAAAAAGATACAGGACTATACCAGAATCTCTTTGAGAATTTATCTTTAAATTAAATTGCAAAATCTCAAGCCTAGATCTGATGCACAATTTCTATAGCAGTGCTCTTCAAAGCATGATTCACCTGTGGGCTCTACTCAGGCTCAGACTCAAAAAAACATCTCCCATGGTCTGTTTAAAGTCTTACCACATTAAATCTTGAGAAGCCCTGTTCTAGGAATACTTAGATTTTTAACAATCTCTTCAGTGATTCACAAAAGTTTGAGAGCTGAATCAGACTATGAACAGTGAAGGAAAAAGACATTAGCTGAGAAACCAAGAAGTCAGGGTGCTTATCCTGGCTCTGCTTCTAATACTCTTGAGCATTTGGATACTTCTGTCCCCTTGTTGGGTCTCAATTTCCTATCTCTACAAGGGTCAGGCTCTGTTACGTTTGACATTTTCTTCACTCCCAATGTTCCATGATTTCACTAAGTGCCTTTAAATTCAGACTTCCCAATTGAGAGGTGATATCAGGTAATGGAACAAATAAGCAGCTTCAGAAGGCTAAGCATATGGATCTTAAGATAGGCATTTAGGCTCTCGAGGCTAAAACTCACGGAGCAATCAAAGTCCCATGAATGCTTGAGTCTCCCGGAGGCCACAGACCAGGAGCAAGCACAGCTTAGAGGGGTCCTGATTGTCTTAAAGTCTTTATCTCACCTGCAGTACAAAGCTGATGGCCATGGTTTTATAGGAATAGGAGGTAGAAGAAAAGCCAAAAGCCACAAACAGAGCTACAGCCAAGGTCAGCAGATTGGTCATGATCTCCAGCCTCAGTCCTACCCATCGTGTGGCAGCCAGAAATAGCAGCATGTAGTTACTCTGGACATCAATCAGTCTTTTAAACCTGAAAACGAAAGTACAACCTGAAGTCCATATATGTCTGTCTAATCCAAATGTTCCATGCTTTTCTTCCAGGCGAACTGTTTAGATCAAAGGCACATAAGTTCTCCAGCTGGAATAGTCAATGAGGACCAGGATTTGTGAATAAGGGAAGGAATGGCATCTCTCTAGCAGGATGATGGCAGGTCTGAAACTACAGCAGCCACTTTGCTACCATAATGGAATCCCAGGGCTGCACAGAGTCTCAAAGGTCTTGAGACTAAAACTAACTCCATGGAAGACATAGAAGTACAACAGAGAATCCTTAAGAGCATTATCTGAGCCTCTGGATCAAAGCTCAGTTGATCCCAACTCAGTTGTTCTTCTAGATTATTCATTTACGTGAGCTAAAGAAGTATCCATTTTCCCCCCAAATCTCTTAAAATGTTTATAACAATTTAAAAAATAAAAATATTGGTTTAATGGATGTCTGCACACCCTCCACTTGAATCTAGCAGCTAGTCATATAATTACTACCTGTTTACATTTTCCATTTCACTCATTTTTTATTTTTACAAGCACCATGAGAAGGGGTAGGATATGGACCCTTTTTCTCATTTTATAGAGAACTAAATGGAATAAAACAAAGCTTTATCTGTCGCTTCTGAAGATGGTACTTTGTTTCCTACCTTCCTGCTCCTCACCACCGTCACCACCACAGTCCCTTCCACCTTCAGATAGACAATGAAAAGACTTACTGACTGATGAAGTCTGCATTTTTTTCATAGACGTGGATAGAGCTCAGACCATGCAGAGAGGTGAGGATATGGGAAAAGAAAGGCGAGCGGCTGTAGTTCTCCAACCTCTTCAACACATTGACAGCCCTTTTAAAAAACCTGCATCAAGAAATAGGGTGAGTGAGCTGGGCCTTTTGTCTCTGACCCTACCCAAGTCTGAGTTAGTCCCATTCTGTGATGTAAAGTCATACGCTCCACTTAGAAACAAGAAAGAACCCACTCACATGTAAAAAGTGAGGCAGAAAACAGCCAGTACAACTGCCATCAGCAGGATATATGGTGACATTACACTGATAATCAACAGGGTGGCGATCACCATCAAAAACAAGAGCAGGAACTTTTCTGCGACCATGGGCAAGCTCTGATCCAGCTCATCCAAGTCTCCTGCAAAGCAGTTCAAGAGTTGGCCCATTGGGGTTGTGTCAAAGAAACTCATGGGGAAGTAGAGGACCTGCAGGACAAAACGAATATGGACAGTGAGATTAGCTGTAAGCATTTTACAGGACTTGATTGATCAAGATGCCCACAACCTTAAAGAGGTAGTGGAAAGTGGGATCCAAGGCCTTCAGGGGAGGCATTACAGAGCAGTGCTTTGGGGTTCCTCAACAATCTGTCTGGCCTCTGGTGCTCCCCAACTCCTCAACCTGCTGCTGTGTGACCTTGAACAAGTTGCTTAACTTTTCTGAGTCTTCAGTGTCCTAGGTTGTGAAATTGAGACGATAACAATACTGCATGGGTTTGTGATGAGATTTACACAACCCAACAGCTATGCTAAAACCCTCTGAGCTGCAGAGGTTAAAAGAGTAGATTTTATGTGTGCATTTTACCTCAGAAGAGTTATTTTAAAAAAGAAACAAGAACACAAAATGTCCCATATTTGGGGGTAATGGACAAGATTTAGAAACATTAGTAACAACTCTACCACATTGTAGGATTAATGCTACTAGCTTGTACACTTGCAAATTATTAAAAAGGTAAATCTTCCATAGTGTATAAAAATTCAGAGCTCAACCTCATTGCTGTTGAGTTGAAACTGACTCATAGCTAATTTTCCAGTGAGTTTTTAAAGGCTGCACATTTCACAAGAGATTACCCTTCTCTCTCCCTCAGAGAAGCTGGTGCATTTGAACTGTTGGTTTTGAGGTTAGCAGTGCAGCTCTTTACGCACTAGGCCACTAGCGTTCCCTTATACTGTGTATGTTGTTATTATGGTTGTTGCTGATTGCTGTCAAGTCAAGCACGACTCATAGAGACTCTATGAACAAAAGACCTAATGATGTCTTTCCATAACTATTACCATTTTTCCAAGTTCATAGAGTTTCCAGAGGCATGTGATTTAGGAAGTGGATGCTACTCCTGCTCCAAACTTGTTTTACAACTGGGAGCTCCACCAAACACTGTCCACAATTGGAAACCATTCTGGTATTTGATATCTCAATAGCACAAGGTTCGGCATCACAGTGAACCCAGGTTACTTCATATAGCACATTGGCAAAGAGTGATGTTCAAAGTGGAAGAGTGTTCCTCCAGATATAACAGCGCTAGTCTCATTTAACAGTGGTTAAGTATATACTACAATGAAAAAGAGAGCGAGAGAGACAAAGCTAATCCAGGGACTTGCTTAGAAGAGCACCTACGCTCTGGAAAGTATTCTACGCATACCAGCCCCTATAAATTCCTAGAGATAGGCCTATTTTCACTCAGGATCAGTAGCAGCTGTTCCAGTGCAACAGGGAAACTGACTCTTGGGCCAACTGCTCCTTGGAAAGGTGTCTGGGTGGTAAAAACAATCTGTTCTCAACTACTAACCTGCAGGGATTTTTTTGTTGTTGTTGCTTACCATCGAGTCAGAACCAACCCATAGTTGACCCTCCAGTGGTTTCTCAGAAGCAGTTAATTGAACAGGAAGAGATTGCCCATCCTCCAGTGGAGCAGCTGGTGGATTTGAACCATGTGCCTTTGAGATTGCAGTACAACTTCTTACCACTAGGCCACCAGAGCTCCAACCTACAGAGCACTGGTTCAAATCCACCCAGTGGTTGCGTGAAAGCCAGTCCCGGAAATCTTCTTTAACTAAGGTTCTGGAAACCCCTATGAAAGAATTCTACTCTAAAAGGCATGCAATGGTCCATGTGTCTTAGCAGTGGATCTGGTTTTAGGGGAGATTCTTTGTTCCTCTTTGAAGGTGGCACTCCCAGAGGTCACAAAGCCCTTTGAAGATCAAAACTGAGAGGAGCTCTGGCACACAAATCTCACTCAGAGCTTTATTTTACAGCTTAGAAAACTGAAGCCCAGAGAAGGAGAGGTGCTCTAGTGGCTTGCACAAGGTCACCCAAGTAATTAATGGCAAAACCATGACTGGTATTGGCCCTCTGAATATTCCTCAGTGCCCAGCACGGCCATGTCCATCACAGAAGGTATTTCCTAAAAGCTTACAGAGCCCACAAACTAACCACATCATTTCCCCATCTATTTATGAAGGTGTAACACAAGGAAAAGTAATTAATAAAAGTTAATAGTATCTCTTATGGCCAAAATTAGAAGGAAGGAGAGAGAGGTAAGAAAGGAGAGTGAGAAGAATATTTTGACGATTTGATATAATCAGATTACTAGAGTCAATTAGTAGAGTCCCTAGGTGGTGAAAATGGTTAATATGCTCAATAACTACCCAAAAGGTTAGAGGGTCAGATTCATCCATGGGTACCTTGTGGTCTTGTACCAAAATTCGTATAGTCTACTCCCAAAAAATCAGTCAGTAAAAACTCTCTGGAGGAGAGTTTTACTTTGACATACGTGAGGTTGCCATTGAATTGATTCTAAGTCAGTGACAACTAGAAAACTGGTAGATATTTGCATCACGAAGTGACCCTTGAAGCCACTGTCGCCCTAAATGACTGGATACTGCTGACCAAGTGTAGTTCACATGAATCTTTGCTTGTCAAGCGAAGGGGGAGAGGGTCAGAGCTGCTTTGCTCATGAACTCCTTGCTTTCTCTGCCTCTGCAGTGCTCTCTAGTTAATCTCCAAACATGTTCTGATAAATATTCATGCTAAAACAATGAATATCATTGTCGAGAGTTCAAAGTCCTTGAGTTAAAGCAGTTGCACAATCATTGCAAGAGTCCAAAGGACAAAACTATGACTCCCTTGAGGCCTCTACGCACTTGCAGGGCAAGCGGGGTGAGTGGGCTGCAGAGGCAACTGAGCTCCGTCCCTCTGTGCAGACACGTGAACAAGTGGTCTCTGAAAGAGGCCTCAGTCAAGCAAGAGGACGAATGAGGAAAACCTTGTCTGCCGTGTATCAAAGCAACGCAAGGGTTATGTCTTGTTTTGCATGTTGCTTTGACAATAAATTCATTTTCTCAGAGATTTGTCTTTTATTTGTGATCATTTAAAACTACAAGCATACATTCAAAACCAGTCAAGTGTTAGAAGGAATGGGAAGAGGAAAACCTTTTAAACAGAAAATCTACTTTCTAACAGAAAGGAAACCTAACAATTTCTCAAAATGAAAACATAAATAATCACTTTAAGGCCTGGACACTAGAGATTTCTAGAATCATGGAGCGTAGAATCAGAAGAACCTTGGACACCATGTGGCTGGATGTCACCAACAAGGGGTGGCGGGGTGCCAGGTAAAGACTTTTTCTCTTCCGCTTTCTGGCTTTACCAAAAAAAACTTGCTTTATTTGAGATGAGAAGAACTGCTTCAACTTCACCCTACAAAAATGGAATTGCTAACAAGCAATAAAAGCTGCATTCTATCAAAAAAACAATGGTAAAGTGCTTTCCTCATCCCCAGAGAATCTCTCTCAAGAGCCCTACGCCATACTTCCAAGCTCCAGGCTTCCTGAACTCTCCTTTTCAACTCTAGCTTCCCAATCTTTAGCTCCTGTTAATCCAACTCATCCTTCAAGCCTTATCTGAGAGGTCATTTCCTTCAAGGAACCATCTTTGGTTCTCTCTTTTCCCTCTATCATTGTTAAACCCTTCTTCTTACATACTCTCATGAGTCTGTGGTCTTCCACCCCATGGTAAATCTGCATACTCCATTCTCTTCTTTCTCTACCCATGTCTCTGCCATGATGGCAGGAGCAATATCTATTTATTCTTGTAAATCTAATGCCCAGCACAGAGCCTGGCATATGATAAATAGCTAATATGTAATAGGTGAGAGAGAAAAAGAGACATTTCTGAGAGATAGTATGCTACCATAGACAATTCGATATTCTAACCATGGCACAGGAAGGAGCTCTGATGGTCCAGTGGTTAGAAGTTCCACAATCTCAAAGGTATTTTGTTCAGATCCATCAGCTATTCTGTGGAAGAAGGATAGACAGTCTCGTCCTGTGCAATTAATTGCCTCTGAAAACCCACTGGAGGGTCAGCTATGGGTCAGTTCCAATTTGACAGAAGACAACAATAACAACAACACATGTGGGGGAAATCCTGAACATCTTTGGATTTCCCTTTTCTCATATATAAGATTAGCACAGGATAGAGCAGAGTTTAGGGCTGTTGTTCATAGGGTCACTATGTGTCGCAGATAACTCAGTGGCACATAAAAACAACAACAAAATTAGACTAATAACAACCACTTCAAAGGGGACTTGGAGTGATTATAAACACCCTGTAAATGGCAATACTTAGTCAATAGATACTAGCATAATGCTGTGACTACTGGTCCCCATCAAGGAGTACTGAGCCCATAGAATCATACTCCTAGCAGCAGAAAGATGTCTCCACATCATCTTCATCCACATAGCAACACAGTGAAGACATTTGTAAAAAAGTTAGGCTGAGAAGAGTAATATTCTTTGCAGCACTATTCGTAACAGTGAAAGGGTAAATGTTCATCAACAAGTCAATAAATAAATATTCTCTCTCTCTCTCTCTCTCTCTCTCTCTCTCTCTCTCTCTCTCTCTCTCTCT